CTGCTATACAGGGCGAAGCAGGGCATCCTTTCCTTCCACAAAATCACTCCCACAGAAGGCAGTCCATCCAAGTTGGAAAAGAGGCAGTCTGTGTTGCCATCGTGTGGCCTTCGTCCGAGCAGGAATAGAAGTGCTGATTGTGATATCCTGCCTCCTCACATAATGGAGACGTGTACTCTTCCTTTGTACAGGAGGAGGCATGGAGTGGTTCACTCTCCAGTCCTGCATAAAGAAAAGCACTTCATCCACTCTGCAGAGCATTGGAGGGAGAGAAATAGAAAGTGGTTACTCCTTTTCTCTTTCTGGTGGAGAAGAGCTCAAAAAGGGCAGAAACTTCCATCCTCAAAGTCCTAGCCCTTGAAAACATCAACTCTGCAGTGGCTGTGAGCAGTTCTATTCCCCATACCTTGCTGGAAAGTATGAAAATGTATAAGGAACTTATTTGCCTTCTGCTCTGTGTTTTTTCAACAACAGTTGCCCAATTTAACCTTGTTACTGCAGCCATGAGACAAACCTCTACTTCACTGAAAGCAAAAGTTGAACTTCTCAAGTGCTTGTGTGCTAAATAGCTAAGCCGGGTGAGACCACTGCTTCTGTTCTTTTGGGTCTGTTGGAAGAGATGTGCTATGGGCCAGTTTTGTTTTTCCTCTTTTATTTGTGCAGGATAGGTTAGGATGACGTTCACCTGGGGTTTGAGCTCCCCATATTCTTTCTTTGCATGATGATCTCACTTGTGAATATAAATTCAGCTATCAGAGTTGCACCAGGGAGCCTCCTTGTGCAAGCCATTAGGGGCCTGGACATTCTGTGTTCCCTAACTCTTCCCACTTCTTCTTCCGCAGGTGGTTTTTGGGAAGAAGCTGCCACCCTTTTCAACAATAATACTTAGCCAATTACAACATGAGAAGAAATATGACATCTATTTTACTGATGGAAAGGTTTATGCTCTCTATAGGTAAATGTTCTTTAGCTTATTCTCCTAGGATAATACAGATGCACTGACTGGTCACCAAAGGAACAGCTATGATTTCCATGTCAAGTACATTTCAGAAATTGTCTGGGGCTGCTTGAGCTATTGGAGAGTGAATGAAGAACCCTTCCAGGAGATGCTCTGGGCAGCACTTCATTGCCAGAACCTATAACAACTGTTAGGCTTGGAAATGATCAAGGAACAAGTCTCTCTCAGTTCTGATTAGTATGAATTATTAAGGTGCCAATGCAAGAATTGTGACAATTTATCTTTGCTTTCATATGTGAACTATTATACTGTGTGTGTGTGTGTTCGTTCGTTCGTTCATTCATTCGTTCATTCATTCATTCATTCATTCATTCATTCATTCATTCATTCATTCATT